CCGGGGGTACCACACGGTCCCCCGGGCCAGGGGGCCCCCCGCCGAGGCAGCCGCGACGGGTATAGCAGCAAAGCGGACAGCCAGCCGGACCCGCGGGCTCGACCCGGCCTCGCGGGAGGAGAGGTGCCTCGCGCCGTGTTCTGTGGGGGGCCACCCCTGCGAGGCCCCCCCCCCCCCCCCCCGCCTCCTCCCCAGCTCTTCCCTACGCGGGGTGGGCTTTGGGCAGCGCTTCCCAGCCGGAGCCTCCTCCCGCAGCCAGGCAGAGGGAAGGGGTACACTAGCCGGGGAGGACGCTCCTCCTCCACCACTGGGACGCGGCAGCAGCATGGGCGAGAGAAAACGCGGCGGAGCTGAGCTACTCGGATAAATTCACGGGCTTTGCCAAGGCGAGGGCTGTCCCCCAGCACTGCCGTCAGAAACAGGGAAGGAAAAGGACCGGGAGCAGCCGTGCCCGGGGACACGGGGCTGAGATCCCCGGGCATGCGCTCTTCGGCCTCCTCAAGGTATGTGCGTTCCCAAACTGTCAGTGCATCAAATCATCTCAGTAACAAATGCAGCGTCAATCTGACTTTTCTTTCAACAGTTCTCACCGAATAATCATCACACAGTGCAATAACGAAAGGAAACCGGCAGTTCCCGACCCTCCGAGCGCCCTATTTCAGTTCCCAGGTCAGAGGAAGAGGTCTCGGGGCCCGACGGGTGTGGATTCGGGGCACCCCACCGCGAGTACTGGGGAGTCAGCAGGCGCTCCCATCCCTTCCTCACGTACTGCCGATGCCGTTTCAGAGCAGCCCTCCAACCCGCCGGCTCCCAGAACGGCTGCTGACCTACCCACAGGGACAGCTTGGAAAAGCGAGGGCGCCTCCCACGTTCCCTTCTGCACGGAAAAACTCACCTGCCTTCAGGAGAGAGACTGCGGGATGAGGCGCGTGCCCCGGACCAGCCTCCCGGCAAAAGAGGTATCGAGGGTCAGGTCTCTCGCGCTTCTCCTCTTTAAATACACAGAGGATGCCGGCGCAGGGCGAGGCAGAATCACGCCTCCCGCCCGGGGCCACGGACAGTCCTTCAGACAGTCAAACTTCTCCTAAGCTGGGCAATTCTCCCTCCCGCCCCCATCTTGACAGGTAAATAAAGTTTAAGGTCCAGCCAAACCTCCTGGAAACAGTTACTGAAGTCAAAAAGGCAGAACAAGAGTAAAAAATAAAAATAAAGTGTACCCCCCCTCTCTGGAGAAAGGATCAGACTGTGTCCAGCCAGGTATTTCCTATAACCGTCCTATGAAAATAAAAAAATCATTAAAAAGAGATTCTCTTAAATTAGGATAATACCACTGTTTAAAAAGCCTCGTCATAAGTGCTTTCCCCTATGAAGTGCTTCTCATAGAAAAATATACAAAATATATTTACATTTATAAAACCTTAAATACTAAACTGTAAACAGAACAGAGTAAAATCCAATGTTGTCATTTGTTAGGCTTGGGGCTTTTCACTTCCTTCTCCGTGTTGGTTTTGGAGGCGCGGAGCAGACCCAAATGGGAGGAGGGTTTACGCTACTTTAACCGGGACGATAGTGTCTTTTGGTTCGCTTGAAACGAGCTCGGTTCCTCAGCCACAGCAATTTCGACCGCGCCAATCGCCAATTTACTTCCTATGCGTTTCTGGATGCTGCCTGGCGCAGACGAGGCTGGTTAGCGTTTGGCCTTGCCTTTGCAGAGAACCCGTGCTCCGTTTTGGTGCCTCTTCCCCTGCCTTTCGGGGAAGACGACGCGACTGCACCCGAAGACGGACCGCGACAGGCGCCTGCCTACCGGATCGCTCCCCACCTGGCCCCAGGGCACTGCAGCAAGGCTGAGCAGAGCCGATCCCGTGGGAGCCTCCACGCAAGTCCTTCCTAGCTCCTGCTCTACAGCGGTAGGCAGCTAACCCTGGAGCCGGCTCTCACTCCCCTTCTCTCCCTAGAGACATCCGTCCCTCGGACCAGCTCCACGGCGGCAGAGACCGCCAGCTGGACGCGCCTTCAGCTCGCTGGGTAGAGGAGGAAGCCGGCTGCTGGGGACAGGTCCGGGGAAAGGACTACTTCCCACCTCCAAAGCCAGAGAGGGAGGGCGCTGCTGAGAGGAAGCCTTTGCTCGCAAAGATTTACAGCGCCGTAGCTGTTGGCACAAGCCCTCTCTCCGCCAAAGAATGCCAGGAATTCCCCTGCGCTCGGGCAGGGATTTTGGAGCGAAGCGCTAGCCAAGCCTTCTTCAGTCTAGCTGCGGGCTGCTCTGTTCCGCTCTCCCCGGTTCGGCCTTCCTAGATGAAACCAGACAAGCCAGACCCATGCAACGCACCAGGCCCCCCAGGCCACGCAGTACGCCGGCCGACCCACAACTAGTGTTTTGCAGACGCGTAGCACAAGGAACCACAGACACGCGCACAGTCCTCGGGGCAGCTGGCTGGCGGGGCGCAGTCTCTCTCCCTAGGAGGAAAGCTCACTCAAACACCGTGCTACCGAACTTCTGACACAGCCCTCGAACGAGGCGGAGGAGGAGAACGCCACGTTCAGCACTCTGAGCCAAGAGACAGAGAGGGACAGAGGGACAGGACCCGCGATCGCTCCCCCACGCTTGGGCCTGGGCTGACCTCCCCTCCCCTCTCCCGCTTGCTCACCAGCCCCATGCTGCGAAACAAATACCGGGGGCGGGGGGAAATGAGAATAGCAAAAACATAATCACGCTGAGGATCTTCTCCAGTCGCCCGTGTCTTTCACAAGGGTAAGTGTGCGCATGCGAGACATGAAGATGTGGACTCTGACAGAGAAACACAGCCGCCAGTCAGGTCCCTGAGCCCAGCCGATCCTCATTCCTGCCTCCGGCCTCCCCGTCCTGTCTGAACGGCCGGGGAGGGGTTCACTTGAAGCTTTGGTTCGCCCCAGGCCCTTCAGGGCTCACTTGCAGCTGACGGAAGTTCTAGTTTAAAAACTTCCTGCACTTCTTGGCGCCGCAGTTACAGGGCAGTTTGTTGCTGGCGTCTTCAATGGGGAACTTGTAGTCGTACGTCAGCTCTTCCCCTCGGTAGATTTTGCGCATGGCGAAGATGACAATGTGTTTCTGGCCATCGATGTTGATGACCCGGGAGTAGCAGTTGGGCTCGCAGGAGTGA